CAATATTTTCTTCAATACCTGGGTATTCCTTAAATGCTCCTCTACTCTTTTGTGCAATGGTTTAGCAGGCTCACCAATATAGAAAAGACTACAAGGGCAAATTAATAAATAAATTACATTATTCGTATGGCTTTTAGTTCTTTAAGTCTATTTTTTTTTTGTATTCTTTCTTCTATGAATTAAAAACTGTTATATATAATTGTCTTATTACATGTTCTGTTGCATCCAAGACAACTGTCACATCCTAAAAAGCTCTATTATCTATGGTCTCTATGGTAAAATTTTATATAGTAGAAGGTCATTTCGTAGTACAGGCCATTATTTTGAAATAATTATTTTTATCCTTCTACTAAATTTATAATAATCACAGATAAATTGAACATCAGGTTATTTTGTATTATTTTCTTTATATTTTTAATGAGGTCCTTGTGATCTAAAGTCAAAACATCTTCCTCTAATTCTTCTAGTTCTTCTTCCAAATATTATTTTGCACCTAAGTCATGCTTAGAATAAATATAACTACATGAATACTGAACATGAATAACATGAATAGTTTTTTGTTACGGCAATGTCACATTTCTCAGATAAAATTCTTCCAAACACCATGAATAGGTATTTTATAAAATCAATTAATACCTCTCAAAATCAAAAATGTATTGTTCTGTGAAATACAAACCATATTCTGGTAGAAGATGCTCTGTTGCCTTATAACCCTTGTTATGGGGTATGTTACTATAAAGGGCTGACAGGTCGCTTGTCATAAGAGGCACCCCTCATCTCTATATTCTCTAAAATTTGTGAAATGTTTATTGTATCTTTTAAGACATTTCTGGACTAATGGTTGAAACTGGAAACTAAATCTATTCCTGATATAACCAATCTTCCTAAGGGAATCTTTAGATCCTTTCTTATCTTTGGCAAATAATACAAAAACAGAATTTAGGTTACTCAATATCCAAATATTCATTTAGTTACAATAATTTTAATCTATATTTGTCTAAAATTTCTCTTAGACAATATTTGTTTGACAAGCGGAACTGCCACATTGGCCAAATTATGCCTATTTGAATTTTTTCTTTTTTTCAAATGAAATAGTTTGTCTCAAACTAATTTTACCACCATATGCAATTCTACTAATTTCCCTATATATATATATATATATATATATATATATATATATATACATATGTAAGTATCTACAATAACTAATGTTTTGTTCATCATTTTTGATGCATTGTTACATTTTATCACTGATGTCCATGTACATTTTACTTAAAGCACTTTCCTTGAAAATGATCAAATTACAAGAAACTCCCCACTTGCAGTCTTATAAAGATGTAATTCAGCTAAAATTGTGAACAGGTGGCAACAGAAATAAAAAACAGATTGTTTATTTTCTAATGAAGAGATTAAAAAAAACACTGAACAAAGAAAATGTGATTGAATTTTGTAAATGGTAGTTGATGAACTCCACAGAAACAAAAAAAATCATTTTCATTGAGCTGGCAAACTTAGTTGATAATACTTATTGCATTTCAAACATATATGTACATCAATGATAAGTGTTGACAATCGTCTGTGAAGAAACACATATTTAACCCCTTCGTGTTGTTATAGTATTCCATGCCATACTAAATGTAGTATGCCTTAACACAACTAGGATGGCATAGATGTCCTGCAGTTTGGGTGTGAGCAAGGTTAAATCCATTGATATCCAGGTCAGCCACACCTTGGGCTTCCCACTGTCAGTTGTGGCCATGCTTAGTGGCCTAAGGTTTGAAAGATTAACTGTGAGCCATTTAAATCCATTTCAATTGTGGCTTTGATTGGCAGAGACAGAACACAGAATCTGCAGCATTAACCGGTCGGACTGACAGGAAGTGCACACTCCTTCCCATCAGTCCGGCCGGGCAACCGCGGACAGCAGAACAGCCCCGGCCATGCACAGGGAGGGAGAGGTGAAGGGGGTAAAGGAGAGTGAAGGGAGGGAGGAGAGGTGAAAGGGAGGGAGGAGGTGAAGTGGGGAGGAGAGGAAGTGGGAGGGGAGGAGAGGAGAAGGGGGAGGAGAGGTGTGGAGGGAGGGAGGAGAGGTGAAGGAGGAGGAGAGGTGAAGGAGGAGAGGTGAGGGAGGAGGAGAGGGAGGAGAGTGAAGGGGGGAGAGGTGAAAGGGGGGGAGGAGAGTAAGTGAAGGAGGGGGAGTAAGAAGAAGGGGAATGAAAAACGGGGGTAAGAAGAACAAGGGGGGAGTGAGAAGAACACAAGGAGGAGGGGGGGGAGAGTAAGGGTGAGGAGAAGGGGAGATGAGGAGAGAAGGGGACTGAGAAGAACACAGGGAGGGTGGGTGGTGAGGAGAACACAGGGAGGGGAAGGGGAGGAGGACACAGGGAGGAGAGCGGATAAGAAGAACACAGGGATGGGGGAGGTGAGGAGAACACAGGGAGGAGGTGAGGTGAACACAGGGAGTGTGGATGAGAAGAGCACAGGGAGGGTGGGGGAGAGGAGAGACCACTAAGGGGCAGGGGAGAGCTCTAAGGGACAGAAGGGACAGCTCTATAGGACAGGGGGCAAGACAGGGAGCTCTTTCACACTACGCGCACACACACACACAATGCATCCCTATACATACACAGAAACGCACAATGCCTCCCTACACACAGAGAAACACACAATGCATCCATTACACACAAAGACAATGCATTCTTTGCACACATACACAGAAACACACAATGCAAACCCTTACACACACACTGCTTTTCTTACATAGACACAGAAACACAATGCATCTCTAACACACACTCAATGCACACACTTACAGACACACACCTTGCATCCCTTATGCATACAAACACAGATTCACTCAATGCATCCCTTACACACAACCAGAAACACACAATACATCCCTTATACACATATACACACTGCTTCCACTACACACAAACACACTGCATCACCTGCACAAACTGGTATCCCTATACACTACTAACATATTAGATCCTCTACAATAACACATAACACATCCCCTACACACTCCACTCCCTGTGAGCGAACTCATGGGTGGATGGAACATATAAGTGGACTTATGAGTGGGCCTTGTGGGCATACTCACTGTCAGGCCCTGGGGCCCAGAACTTGAGCTGTGTAAGGGGCCCCCAAAAAATGGAGCTGCTTCCAATTCTCCCAGAACATTGAATTTTGTGACCACAGTTGCAAACAGCCTACAGAGATCCTGTTCTACACCAGACCAGTGGAGCCAAACTGCAGCCCATCATCATCCTCATCTTGTTGTAAGTAGGCAATCTAGTATATTATTAGTGACACTAATCTATCATTTACCTCACATTAAAGGGACATTATAGTCCCCAGAACGACTGCAGCTTAATGAAGTGGTTCTGGTGTCTATAGCCAGTCCTTGCAGGCTTTTTAATGTAAACACACACTGTGGGCAGCACTGACGTTAGTTTATATGGCAGCTCATATAGGTGGGGCATTGTGATGTCACATGGGGGGCAGCAAATACAGCTGTTCCCCATGCAGCCACAGGTGCCGCTGTGCTGGGAGATTGTGATTACTCTTCACTTCCTCCCAGCCTACAGAGTAGCGCATGGGAGAGAGAGAGGAGCAGGCATGATTTAATCTTACAACAAAACCTACTGGTGCACACCAGCAGTAGGTGCAGTCAGATTATAGCCTCTCCCTCATGTTTCCGACGCTCAGTTAGTGAGTCAGAGCACAGGCTCAGAGATTCTCAGCCTGCGCTCTGACAACACTGAAAGTCAGAGCTGTGAAGGAGCGGGTATGGCAAAGAGCTACTGATTAGCATAACATCAATATCCGTTATAAAACTAGGAAAAGGTGGGCACCATTGCACTTTGGTGCCAGCCCTCCCCTGGGGTTAGTGTAGGTTTAGTGTTAGTGTATGTTAAGGGTTAATCTTAGGTTAGGGACAGGGTGAGGTTAGGGTTGGTGTATGGTTAACATTTGTGTAAGCAAAACTACCAAAATTAAATTTGGTCCTAGACAAATGAGGCATTTAGCAAACAGGACTAATATGTGCATTTATTTTCTTTAGTTGTACTTGTACAAAGATTTTTATAAGCAAAAATGTTTTAAAACATTTTTTTCCCCCATTATTTCCCATTTTGAATATTTTATTTATAGTTCGAGGACCACTAAAAGCACCCTGGCCACTTCATCTGAGTAAAGTGGCCTGGACGCAGTGGTCCTGACAATTTAACCATTCAAGGTAAAACATTGCTGTTTTTTCAGAAATGGCAATATGTCCCGTGACGGGTTAAATAAACATCCAGTGGCAGTTACACTGACTAAGGAGGAGGAGAGATAAGCTGCATGAAAGGAGTCTCAATGCTGGAAAAGGTAAGTAACATCCTTAATTTTATTATTTTTATAGAACAAACAAGGGGTGTTTATATAATTAGGGAGAAGGGCACGAAAGCATTAGGAATACAGGTTTGTATACAAAAAAATATATATAGTATGAACTTAACCCCTTCAGGACGGAGTCAATAGTGCACATTCTGATCAAAACAAAACGTAAACAAAAACTGGAATTTGCGCTAAATGTCTGTTCAACAGTAATTCACCGCTGTCACATTATGTGCACCCACACTTATTATATATCATTTTGTTCAGGAGAAACGGGGCTTTAATTTATCATTAACTATTCATATATGGAACATAATTTATTATGAATAAAATTAAAAAACATTTGAGAAAATAAGATTTTTTTTACATTTGTATTTCCGTCTGACATTTTAGCTGTGAATGTCATAATACTGTTAGGTTTTACTGCAAAAAAATGTGCATATTTGTAATCAGCGATATCTCACGAGTACAGCAGTACCCCCCTTTAACAGGTTTTATGGTGTTTTGGAAAGTTACAGGGTCAAATATAGAACGTTCCATTTTCACATTGAAATTTGCCAGATTAGTACCTTTGAGATAGTGTGGTAGCCCTGGAATGAGAATTATCCCCATAATGGCATACCATTTGAAAAAGTAGACAACCCAAGGTATTGAAAGTGGAGTGTGTAGTCTTTTTTAGTAGCCACTTAGTCACAAACACTCGCCAAAGGTAGCGTTCATATTTGTTTTTGTGTGAAAAAAGCAAAAGAACTAATATTTGGCGAGTGTTTGTGACTAAGTGGCTACTAAGAAAGACTGGACATACCCCACTTGCAATACCTTGGGTTGTTTACTTTTGCAAATGGTATGCCATCATGGGGGTAATTCTTATTCCTGGGCTATCATACGCTCTCAAAGGCAACATAACCAATCTGGCAAATTTCAATGTAAAAAAAATGAAATGCAAGCCTTATATGTGACTCTCTAACTTTCCAAAACACCATAAAACCTGTACATGGGGGGTACTGTTATTCTCGGGAGACTTCACTAAACACAAATATTAGTGTTTTAAAACAGTAAAACATATTACAACAATAATATAGTCCATAAAAGTGTTGTTCATTTGTAAAAAATGCAAAAAACATCACTTTTACTTAAAATATCATCGTTTTAATACAATTTACCAGTTTGAAACACTAATATTTGAGTTCAGCGAAGTATCCCGAGTAAAACAGTACCCCATATGTACAGGTTTTATGGTGTCTTGGAGAGTTACAGGGTCAGATATAGTGTTTGCAAATTAAATTCTCTGCACTTTCTCCCTGTGTTGTCAGGCATGTCAATCAATTTTTAATTAATTAAATCACATAATTATGTTAAAAGATTACTTAAATATAAATGTAGAATTTTAATATATATGCATTTATAGGTATTTAAATTCTACATGTATACTAATGTAATCTTTTATGTAATAATATGTATTTATCTATATATATATATTTGTGGTTATTTGTATTTTATATATAGATAGATATATCTAGAATGTCATTCTAAGTGTATTTTGTTACCAATATATATATTAATAACAAAATACAGTTAGAATAAAATTACATATGAATATATAATTTATATTAAATTTTGTTTCAATATTTTATTTATTTTATTATTTTATTTATTTATTATTGTAATTATACGTATATATATATATATATATATATATAATATATATGTGTATCTATCTATTATATATATATATATAATATATATTATATATATGTAACATCATTATAAGTGTATTTTAATACTAATATATATACTTATATTAATTTTAAAATACACTTTGTATGACTTTATATATATGTATATTATATATATAATATATATACATATATTATATATATATATATATAAATACATTTCTATTTTAATTTTACACATGTCTAATATATTTTTTTTACAGCTCCCATCAGCAGGGGGACTGTCTGACATTTTAGACAGTCGCCCTGCTGGCAGATTTACAGCCAGCTATAGGGGCCCATGTGATCGCTCTTTGAGAGCGATCACATGGCCCACGGGGGCTGCTTTTGCCGTGGGAGGACTGCCTGGGCTGTCAGGCAGTACTCCTGAAGAGGATCACGGTGGAGGTAAGAATCCCGGGCACTCTGGGGGCTGCAGCCGTTACGGCGTTCTATGCCGCCGCAACGGCTTTAAAGCCCATTTAAATGGGGACGGCATAGAACGCCGTAATGGCGTTAAGGGGTTAAAGACAAACCCTTAAATAACGGTGAAAAATAGAACAAATATTAGGTTTTGTTTTAAATTCGGAACTTGGACAATTGTCCTTATGAGGTTAAGAAGTTAAACAATGTAACAAACAACTATTAGAAATAATGTGCTAACTATGAAAATCATGAAAAAAAAAAAAATGCCAACACACAGCTCTAATACAAATTAGGACTATTTTTTCTGCAAGTTTTTTAGGTATAAATGTTGTAGTTTTTTTTTGTTAGCTTCTATAAAAACATATACAGTACATCAGATGGCAAACAGAATCAAACCTAATGGTGGAATAAATGCAAAGATCTCCCTGGTGCAAGGATTTTTAAGGGAATCCTGTAGCACAAGGGTGGCCAAAGGTAGATCCTCAACTTTCATACAACTTCCATGATGCTTTGCTAGTTAGGGGTCTACCATTTATTGATCCCTATATTTGTGAGCAATGTCTATATGTTCAAATGTAAACATATTTTTGTATGGAGTGAATGTAGATGTGTATTAGTGTTGGTGTTTCCATGCAAGGGGGGCATTGGCCTTTAAATGTATTTGTGTGTATAGTTGGCGTTTCAGTGCAGTTGTGCTGTCTTGGTGTTTGAATGAATGGGTGTGTTTGTGTTTTGCTGCCATATGATTGCAGGGACGTATGTAGTATTGGTGTGTTTGAATGCTCCAATGTATGCACATATACACATACAACGCCATACAAACACACAAACATACTGACAAACACATACATACATTCCCATACAGATACACACTGACACACAGATGCAAAAGCACACTGACACACACACATAGAAGACAAAATTTACATATTTTTAGCCACCCTCCATTCTTCTTAAATGCATGAAGATGGTTTCCCCAGGGCCTACTAGGTGCAGGGTGAGGTTGATGAGAGTCTCTCCTTATAATTTGGGGTATATATTTTTTTTTTTGCAGTTATTTGTTGGTATACTGCTGGCATGTGAAAAGCTTTAAGTCAGTAGCAGGAATATAAAAAGCATTCTGTTCTAAATTAAAACAGAGAGTGCTAATGGTAAAGTTCAGTAAATATTTACATTACGATTTAACTGAAATGTAACACCATATCCATAAATCTTGGGATTGTAGTAATCTCCATAATGGGAATGTCATTTGACAAAATGTTATCTATTTGCCATGAGCTACGTTTCTTGTAGCTGTACTACAATACAACCCAGAACAAATGTTTTTGCTAGGTATTAGTTTATGCATTTTTGTTTACCAAACATAACATGATACAGCTCCCACTAAGAGGTCCATTCACATACTTGGTAACTTGGTAGTACAGTGAGACTTCCCATGTGTTCTTCTCTACCTCCCCATGCGGCACTCTGTAAACTGGGAGTAAGTGATTTGTGCTCACTTTCTACCAGCACCATGTCCACACTGCAGCTTCAACAAGGGCACGGTATGGTGCACTGTTAAAGGGTCGCAGGCCCCACAGCTGAACTACAGTTTATCAATATTAAATAAATGCAAACCTCAACAATGATTTGAAATAAGAAGAGGGTTTTACAGAGGTTGGATCTACAACGTTTTTGGGTCCTCATCTGTTATAGATATAATTTGCCATTCGTTGTACACTGTAGAATAGACAACATATTTTATATAATATTTGAATGATGTAATATGTTATGTTTGTTGTTCATCTGAGGTTGTATTTACCTAATTTTAAGACCTGCTAAGGAACAGATGATGTTATTATGCCCTGATATGTAAAATCATAGAATTCAAGTACTGTCTTTTTCCCACAACAGTATATTTGTATTAACTTGTGTATCTATAACACACACTTTAGATTTCTTTTTAGAAGTTACTGTAGATTACAGAAGGAAATGGAGAAACAAAGAAGATTTAATGACTTCTAACAGCCTTATGAAAATTTTTAAATATTAATACATATTTTTACTTATATATTTAGCTGTGCACGTAACAAGGAATTTTTTTTAAAATGATTTAATGTCTGCTACTATTTTAGCTCAGCCAGATTAGCATATAATCAAATGAGCTTGTTTTTGTATTTTTACGTTCTTATTATTTTACCAGTTTTGAAAGAGGCTGTATCTGCCCATTGTAATTCAATCTCCTGTAACTTGCATGACATATTGCTGAAGGGTTTTTGTCTGGATTTACACTTCACTCTTTATTGGCTACACATTATCATACTGGGAGTATAAAATCTAGACAGTGGCAGTAATAGTGACAAAATATCATTGTTAATTCTGCATATTGTTTGATAGGATACTGCTTTTTTTAGGATAGAATGATTTCTCAAATTTCTTTACTCATCTAATTTCTGGCTGGAAAAATTAAAATGTAGCAAGTTTGCAGTTGTTGAATTACCTGCAGTACTTTCAGCTGCTTAGAGCAGTAGTTATAATACTGCCCTAGAAACAGGAAAAATGGTCAGACAGTGTCCACAGCCAAGAAAACTAACGTTCTACATATGTCTACTTCAAAGACTCATAGCTTGTAAACTTTTTTGAGAAGAGTCTTAATTTCACTATATATGCTCTTGCTTTCATTGTAAAATTATGTGAATAATAATAACAAGAAGGTTCAACTTTAACATTAGAGATTAGTGATGTCCCTCCCAGACCTGGACAGCTCACTAAGAATGCAACTTCAAAATGGATGCTGTCCAGGAGGTGGGAGGGTCTGGGAGGGAGGGTCTGCTGCTGATTGGCTGGAATGTGTCTGCTGACTGTGAGGTACAGGGTCAAAGTTTACTCAATGATGTTCGTTCGTGGCGAACTGTTCGCGAACCGTTGGGCGAACCGTTCGGGACATCACTATTAGAGATTAATGAGCTATTTCCTATAATCAATTATTTTAATTTTGGAAACAAATAACTGTATATGACTTTAAGAACAATTTAAAATTAAGATTAAAAGCTTACTTAGCGCAAGACTGAGTGCATGTGAGTTTCAATAGATCTGATTAGATGGATGAACTGCAATTCAGCCGAAATTGGGCCAATTGAACGATTAACAGAATTCCCAAGCTCCGAGACAAAATGTGCCCGAATCAAAAACCAATGCAATGTGAAAATGTTCTGTTCAGGGTCATCATTATGAAGTCTGCCGTTAATGCCAAAAAAGAGATGACTGATAAGGAAAATGATGATTGATGTGAGCAAAAGAAGAAAAAAAGTAAAAGCATTTAAAAAAATCTATAAATCTATCATTTTTAAATATAGATTTTTTTTATTTACTGCTCTGTCTGTTTTTCCAGGAGCACTCTTACCTATATTGCATAGCTATGCACAATGCAGTAGCTGACATAGCTGATTGGCCATGGACCTGATGGTGAGCGGTTCTGAAAATTGATGAGAGTTGCGGAGATGAGATGGAATATTTTCATGAGCAGAGGGTGGCCTTGAGAGGTTTTCTTTATGGCACAATTCACAAGGATGTAACAGTAGTGCTGCTCAGTAAGCTAACATATCTACTGAGATCTTATCTGAGTGAACACATTGTCAATTTCCCTGAACTGATGCTAGCTTCCCTATGTGATCCTAGGATTAAGATAAAACTGGCACTCTGACCCAACAACGTGACATACTGGAGGGA